CGAAAACCTCGACTTTGGAGGGGTCCCTTATTGGGTAAAAGCCAGCTTGATGTGAAGGCCATTTTTTTCGTGATTTATAATAATTCAATGGTGATCGCATGGCCTTGTGCTGGCGATGGTTTATTATATTTTCTGCCCTATCAGATTAAGACTGTAAGATAGAGGCTTGCGTTGTCTACCATGGGTAGCAGGGAATCAGGGTCTGGTCCCGAAAATGAAGGATGAAATCTAAAAGAACTGACGGAAGGGCACCAGCAGGAGCGGAGCCTACGGCTTAATTTGATTCAACACGGGGGAACTCAGCTGGTACACACATTAAAAGGATTGAAAAATCACCTTTTCAGTTGGGTCAAGCTTCGGCTTTTCTGTCTTCCTAAATATACTGCCTGCGCTAAGCAGGGTGATGTTGGGCAATAACAGGTCTATCATGCCCTTAGATGTTCTGGGCCGCACATGCGCTACACTGACATAGTTAATGAGTATATAACCATGGCTAATAAGCTTGGGTACTCTTTTAAAACTATTTCGTACTGGGAATTGAGGTATGTAGCAAGGTTTCTGTACGTAATCTTACGGAAGAGCCATTGCTAATGTTATCTACAGTTTAACGTTTACGTTGTTCTGGTAGTCTAACAAAAAACTGTGATATGTCTTGCACCTTGGGATTTAAAAAATAGCCTATCGTTAAAAGGCCAAGCTAGTCTCAATAGACTCCCAAAATCTTACTGAAGAACTGAATTGACTGGCAAAGCTAAAAGTGAACATAGCCGCATACCCGTAAAGCAACTCGCTCGTTCAGGTATGTTTGGTTATGGATCAAACAGAATCAGTATATAAATACTGAAATACTCATCTTAAGCAAACATTGCTAGGATAATATTGTTGCTGATAACAGAAAGCGTTATGAAAATCACCAACGCCCATAAACGCCGGTGCTAGCTTTATATGCGCACCTAAAAACGGTTCACACGAAATAATGAACCTTGGCTTAAAAGCCATAATTAAAAAAAAACAAAAAAAAAGAAAAACAAAAAAAAAGAAGCAAAAAAAAACGACCTGAAATAAGGTCGAAATACCCACTGGACCGAAACGTTAAGCGGAAGAAAAGACACTAGCAAGGATTCCCCTAATAACGGCTAGTATGAACAGAAAGACTAAAGCTTGGTAAGAGACCAATAGCGAACAAGTACTGTCATGGTAATAACTAATTCATGACAAGTAGGAGTAGCGTTGTGGCCGGATGAACAGAAGACTGGAAGACCGGAAGACCGGAAGACCAGACGACGAGACGCCCAGATGGCAGCAACCGAGAGTGGAAACGACGAAGAGGAGAGGGCGGTTGTGGGTGGGAATGATGGAAGGGAGGAATGTTATTAGGAAAAGAGGCAGATGTAAGCGTAGGAGCCTGTGGTGAGAGGGATGCGGTGAGAGGGATGTGGTGAAGTGGATGTGGTGAAGTGGATGTGGTGAAGTGGATGTGGTGAAGTGGATGTGGTGAAGTGGATGTGGTGAAGTGGATGTGGTGAAGTGGATGTGGTGAAGTGGATGTGGTGAAGTGGATGTGGTGAAGTGGATGTGGTGAAGTGGATGTGGTGAAGTGGATGTGGTGAGGGGGATGTGGTGCTGTGCGAGTAGAGGAAGAGAGTTTTGGGGGAAGGCGTGGGCAAGTAGAAAGGATGACGAGGAGATAGGACGTCGGAGTGAACAGGAGTAGAAAGTGGCAGTAGGGAGCTGAAGGAGTTGACTGTTGTTACGTTATGTGGGAGAGTTTAGGGGATACCCCACTACCTGGAACTTCTGTTTTACAGGAGGACTTGGTGTCGAACCGTGTGAGCGTATGGATGCGAACGTGCTGTTCGTGTTGGCGACGGCTCATATCTGCTACCCGTAGGAGTGGTAGAGGGAGGAAGCCGGATGGTATGGTTCACCGCCGTACCTGAAGGGGGAACTGTGGTCGCGATTCTCTTCCCGGCCTTCGGGCCGAAACAAAAAAAAAAAAACTGGCAAATATACTATATGTATGAATATTGTACTTGGTGAGTACAATAATAACAGCCAAGTTAATAAACTTGGTAGAA